AATTCCAAGCACCACACACACACACACAAAATCTATGAAGAAAACAAAACTATATTTAGAGGGAAATTTTATAACTTTTAAAATGCCATCATTATTCAAGAAGAAAGTTAAAAAAAATAGGACAAAACAAAACTAAATACAGTTGGTGCTCCATGTCCCTGAGTCTATGTCTGAGGACTCCGTGGTGGCACATTGAGCCAATTGAGGATGGGAATGATTCAGAAAAAAAATTGTGTCTGTACTGAACATGTACAGATGTTCTTCCTTGTCATTATTCTTTAAACAACATAGAATTCACAGTCACTTACACAGCACTACACTGTATTAGGTATAAAGTAATCTAGAGATGATTTGAGCATGGGGATGTTTGGGGGTAATATGCAGACACTGTGCCAGCTTATATGAGAAACATGAGCATCTGAGGGTTTTGTCACCCGCAGGGCACTGGGAGGGGGCTAAGACCACACCACCATGAACACCAAAGGATGGCTGACAACTTATCTTACAAAGTAAGAAAACAACCGTAAGATAAATAAAAATGAGCCAGGTAGAAGAAATGAAAGACAAAAAATAAAGTGGCCAAGAAATAAATTTCAAACTGGTTATTTGAAAAGAATAAACTTAAAAAGTTAGTTCTGAGGCTGGGGATGAGCTTAGGGGAAGAGCGGTTGGCTTGCGTAGTCTGAGGCCCGGGTTCCCAGGATCACAAAAACAAAAAGTTATGAGAAAAGGTAAAAATATACCAGATTAATGATGAGAAAGAAGAAAAAGTTCAGACAGGAGGAATTAAAATAATTTAGAGAATCCATGCAACAATTTGGCAACACATTCAAAAACTTAATGATGCCAAAAAATCAAATTTTACCAAAACTGACACAAGAGGAAATGGAAAACCTGAATGCTCCAACAGACAGTGAGATGACGACTATAGGGAATCACTGGAAAAGTCCCAGAACGAAGGGCTCACAGTTTATTTTCATCTAAATTTTAAAAACCAGAACAGGAAAACTCTGGTGTATTTTAAGCTCTGCGAGCCACAGGATGTGCTGGGAAGCTCCTGGATCCATTTCATGAAGGGCAGGAAGGGTTAATTTTTTTTTTTGCGGTGCTGGGGCTGGAAGCTAGGACTTCGTGTGTACTAGGCAAGCCCTCTGCCACTGAACCATACACATCTCCAGCCCCGAGGCAGAATAATTTTAATCCTAAAACCTGATGAAGATACTATGAAAAAAGAAAATTATATGTAAAGACTAAAAATGTTAGCAAAAGGAACCAGGAAACATAAAAAAAAATAACAAATTAACACATTATGTCCAAGTTAGGTTTACTCCAGAGCTTAAGGGTCATTCTGAATGAGGAAACCTATTCACATACTGTTACATTAATAAAAAAATATTAAAGGAGGAAAAACAATATGGCCATAGGAATAGGTACTGAAGATCATCGGCTGTAATCCAGCTGCATACAACCCAAATGCCAACACACAAGTGATGGTCAAAGTCGGAGCTGGGGAAACAGGAGAATGCACTCTTCCCTGTACTGACCAGACTGATAAGAGGCGAGGAGAGGCCTCCTGCATGGCTGCAGCCCAACACATGCCTGCCAGTTCTTTGGGAAGGTGAGCTTGGATGTTTGGGGGTAATACGCAATCAGCTCTAACTACAATCAGCTCCCTCTAACTACAATCAGCTCCCTGGAATCCACAGTACAGAAATAAAATCAGTGTTAAGGAGGCCGAGGTAGGCGGATTGCCAAGTTTGAGAGCAGCCTGGGCCACTTAAACCCTGTCTCAAAGTAAAAAATAAAAAAGGGCTGAAGTGATGGGAGGGGAGAGGAGGGGAAGGGGGGATAGGAAGGGCAGCAGAATAAAATAGACATTATTATTGCTGTATGTATATAGGTGACTGTATGACCAATGTGATTCTGCAACCTGTACAATCAGAAAAATGAGAAATTATACCCCATTTGATTCAAATGTATGAATTGTCAAGATCATTGTACTGTCATGTGTAGCTAATAAAAAAAGAATCAATAAATGGGATGGATTCAAATTAAAAAGCTGCTTCTCAGCAAAAGAAGCAATCAGTAAGTTGAATAGAGAGCCTACAGAATGGGAGCAAATTTTTACCACATGCACATCAGATAGCACACTAATCTCCAGGATCTATAAAGAACTCAAAAAACTTAACACCAAAAAACCCCACAAATAACCCAATCAATAAATGGGCTAAGGATATAAGATGATATACAATTGATTAACTAATATATGAAAAAATGTTCAACATCTCTAGTAATTAGAGAAATGCCAATCAAAACTTTTCTAAGATTTCATCTCATTCTAGTCAGAATGGCAATTATTAAGAAAACAAACAACAATAAGTTTTGGCTAGGATGTGGGGGGGAAAGCACACTCAAACATTGCTGGAGGGACTGAAAATTGGTACAGCCAATCTGGAAAGCAGTATGGAGATTTCTTAGAAAATTTGGAATGGAACCACCATTTGACCTAGCTATCCTACTCTTCGGTTTATACCCAAAGAACTTAAAAGCAGGATACTACAGTGATGCTGCCATATCAATGTTTATAGCAGCACAATTCACAACAGCTTAATTGTGGAACCAACCTAGTTGCCCTTCAATAGATGAATGGATAAAGAAATTGTGATATATATATCTCCATATCCACACACACACACGCACATATATATATATATATATATATATATATATATACACACACACACACACACACACAATGGAATATTACTCAACATTAAAAGAGAATAAAATCATGGCATTTACAAGTAAATGGATGGAGCTGAAGAATATCTTGCTAAGTGAAGTAAGCTAATTCGAAAAAAACAAAGGCCAAATGTATTCTCTGATAAGTGTATGATGATCCATAATGTGGGTGTGGGGGAGCATCAGAGGAATGGAGATAAATATTATTTTCCTAGGTACATGTATGGAGACATGATTGGTGTGACACTACTTTGTGTACAACTAGAGAAATGAAAAATTGTTGCTTCAATTTTGTACTATGAATTGAAATGCATTCTGCTGTCATAACAAATTAGAATAAATAATTTTTAAAAAAGGGCTGGGGTGTCGCTCAGGGGTAGAGTACTTGCATAGGATGCACAAGGCCCTGGTTTCAATCCTCAGTACTTCAATAAAGGAATAAATGAATACATGTGTCCAAACACAGAGGGGATCTGGGCAACACAAAAGGTTATTAATTTTGATGTGGAGTGGATGGAGGCGATATTGGGCAGAGAGAGCAAAAAGGGATCAATACGTAATAACCATTCTTAGAGGATACAACATAGATGTGAAAGTATATTTTTGTTTTGCATTTGTATGAAAATCTAAACACTCATCTTTGGTCTGTACAGCTGCTTTATTTGTCCCTCAGCCAGAGAGACACGGCTTGGGTTAGCAACCACCTTTCAGGACTCTTGCAGACGCAAGTGAAATTTCACTCCCAAGTTCCTGCACAAGTGCTCTCTGGGGTAAATCAAAACTTTGAAATAACAGTGCATGTACTTGGATCTGTGCTTCAGAAAGCACTTTAGGACCTTTCAAATACCTGTCCTCAGGTCCTGGGAGAGCATCCCAGAAAGCAGTGAACATCAAGTTTACTTTGCAGTGCCAGAAATCACATTCTTGCTCTGAGGAGCTGGGGGGAAGCAGGGCTGTGGCTTCCTATTGAAGTGGTACCTGGCGGGGCAGCATGTTGGGCTTGGCGGAGAACTAGGAAGATGTCCACACACGCCCTTCCTGTGCCTGGTGCGCTGGGGTGGTTCAAGTCAAACACTGCCCTGCTGTGCCCATGAGCAGGGTTGGTTCAGCTGTGCTCCTGGGGGCGGGGGCTCCCCACATCTTCCCCGGACACTCAGAGGACCATGTGCTTTAGATGCTGTGCTTTGCTTTGGGAAGTGGAGCCCTTTTCTGCTTTAAGCTCTGGAATTTGTTTGACATGGGGTTCCAACTGTCAAGGTCAAGAGGGAAGTGGTGGCTGGGGTGACTGGATGGGCAATGGGAGCACGTCTTGGTTAAATCTACTTCTTCGCCTGGTCCACATTGAACTCTGACTTGACATATCTGGAGAAAACAGAAGCAGGTCGCTTGGCTCACTTACAGCTCATGGTCACTGACTTCAGGTGGGCATGGCTGCTGCCTGGCAAAGGCATCACGCTGCTTCAGCCGTACACTTTCCCACCGTCCTCCTTGGCTATTTTAACTTCCTTCTCTCCCCAAGTCTCCATCACCTCCTGCCCTATACTCACTCCTGGCTGATCTGAAAAATGAGCACCATTTTCTTGATCAGCTCATCTGCCACCACTCCTTTATGGCCGCCCCTCCTTGTCCCCTCTTTAAGAGATGAGGTCACCTACATTGCCCAGGCTGGCCTCTAACTCCTGGACACCCGGATCCTCTTGCCTCAGCCTCTGGGATGAGAGGGGTTCACCACTACCCCTGCACCAGCCACCCTTCCCTCGTAAGGCACAGGTATTTCTCTCCTTCATGCAGGGCACGACTCCTTCAGACAGTTGGCAATATTTGGTGTCTCCAATATCTCTCCTTCCATTTTTCTCTTGGACCTCCTCCCTCCCAGATTTCAGCACCACAGCTCCATCAGAACTGCTCTTAGGAAGGTCTCCAGTGGCGCCAATGTGGCAGGATCCATTATGAATTGGGGGTCCTCCTCTGGTTGGTTCATCTTTGAAACCTTTCTGGACCTGCGTGAGCCACTCCTGAGCCACTCCCATCTCTGGATGGTCCTGCTTAGCCTTCCATTTATCTCTTAACTCTAAAGGACACATCCATCCTGGGGGCTCGGCCCAGCCGCCTCGGGTGGCAAGGTGAGCAGGGCACAAGCTGCTGGAGGGCGGCAGAGGCTGCATTGGATTGTGAATGCCGTGCCATACTTGGTGTCTGTCATCGCTGAAGATTCTAGAATCTATGGAACACCAGGAAACGAGAAGAAAACAAACGAGTCTGGGAAGTCAACAACGCATTTTATTCCACAGGAAGAAGAGAGACGACTCTGATATGGGAACCAGATTCCAGATCTGCACACACGGTGACCGAGTGCTCACACAGTGGGGAACAGACCTTCTGTTTTCAGAAGTTCACCAAGCAGCTGCCATCATTTTTTGAGGCACAGATGACACTTGAAAACGAGGTGGCCCTGGAGCCTTCTGAACACTGGGGTGGGCACCCACCAGGCACAGCAGTTTGGGGCCGGGGCTGAGGTCGCCCAACTGTTTCCACCACTCAGGGCTGGGGCCCGGGGCTGGGCACGTTGGCCAGGCTGGCCTCCCGACATGCGTCGGCCAACCGCGCTGGCTCAGGGGACTGGGATGGCTTTTGGTCTCCTTATTATCTTCCCCCTTTTCATCCCATCAATTTTACTTTCCTGAAAGAGGAACTATGCATTTTGAGGCAGCATTAAAATTGGTAGAAATTGTCCTGACAAAGTCTCAGACACCATAGGCTAAATACCCATTTAAGAAGAAATAGGATATTTATGGAGCCTGGGCAGGGCCTGCTTCTTCCACAGCTTTGGATTCTGTCTCAGCAAATTATGAAGCAATGGCAAAACCCCTGAAATCTTGCCCAGGCTGGGCACGAGGGCTGCAGGGCAGGGAGGGTGGGGGAACCCTGTAGTTGGCCCTTTCTTGCCTGGTAGCCCTGCCCTGTTTGGTCTCTGGATCCCCTTTTAACATCTGCCCCTTCAAAAGTGCAAATGTCAGAGGAAGGGGCTGTGTCTCACAGGAGATGGACAACCATTTAAAGAGCTGATTCAATTAGAAAGCAGCTGGAAGAGGGCAGTGCACACCACCAAGCACCGGCTCCCGGGCAGCCCTTGGCTCCCTTCCTCAAGTCAGAGACCACAGCACTTGGGATTGCTGGGCCACAGCAGGTTTCCATAGCAATATTAGCTTCTCAATCCAACAAGGACATCTCAGGGTGACTCTGTCCCAGCAAGTGACAGAAGGCTCACTGATGCACAGAATCAACCCTTCTGAGAGTTTCATGTGGAAGAGAGAGTAATCTCAGGCAGTTGGTGACTGATGACCTCAAGCCAGACTTGTGGGGGTCAGGGACAGAGGTTGGAGAGGAAGGCCAGGGGAGCTAACACTTGGCCTTTCTGCTGTGAATCTTGAGAACACTGATATCCTTATGATGGTCACTTGGAGAGCCACAAACCCCTGATCTCAAACCACTTGGCCTATGAAAACCTAGACTCAGTTGTGCCACCCCCTGGCTTGTAGCCCCATGAGAACTATCCACTCCTGGGAAGCACTACCCAGGTGCAGAAGCGCTCTTCCTCCTCTCTGAACAGACCCACGCATGCGCACATGGGGTGGGAGGGGAGGGCAGAAGGAAGTGGGGAGAGGGGATGGCTTCATCTGTGTCGTGGAAGGGGTGGGCTGTGAACTTTGAGCATCCAAACCTTCTACACATCCACTGATCCCCCAGGCCTCCTCGGGTCTCAGCTACATGTGACAAGGTTGTAGAAACTGATTAGCTTTATTAAAATAAAAAATTTAAAAATCACAGGTGAGTCCTTCCCTTGTAGAGTGAGGCTTTTCTGCCCTCGTTTTCTTTTTCCTTACAGAAAAGGGGAAAACTGAAGCCGAGAGCCAGGCAGAGCCGACTCTTGGACCAGGCTTGGATTCAAACCAAGGACAAGACACGCTCTGGCCAAATCCTAGTTCCAAGAGAAGCTCACGAGCGCAGGTCTGCACAGGTCTTCAACACTCGTGTTTCCCTCTCTTCTCTAAGACCTTCTTTTCCTTCCTCCTTATCCTGGTGTCATCATCCAGGTCCCTCGGGCAGTGACACCAGCACACGGGCCTTCTCATCAAGAGAGCCCACTCATGTCTCAAACCTCTCTAAAAACAGTGTGCACATCAACTGAAGACAATGTCACCTCGGAGTGGGCAAGACCAGGCAGGGGAGAGCCAAGGGGACACAGAGTAGGAAACCACCGGAGGAATCTAAGCAGCAGGGACTAGTGTGAGGACAGAGAGGGCCACGGGGAGTGCTCTCTCTGGGGCAGCCAGTCACCGCCAAGGGCTCACTCCTAACACTCAACCTCACCTCCACCTGCTCCTGAAAGTGCAAAGCTCAGACGCGACACAGCTGTGGAGAATGCCCCTCTCCAGAGCACCCTGGATGAGGTGTGGAGAACTAGTGCAAGAGAAGATCCTGTGCAATTTATGCGCCTTTACAGGTGACAAACCTTCACGCACAGCACAGCCCTGCTCGGAAGCTCCTGTATATTTACAGACACGCAGTTGTACATATATACATGTTAACAAGATACAGGGCAGTTTAAAAATTAGATTCATCTTAGTACTTTTGTTTTTTTGACGTTATTCAACCGACACCTTTCAAAAATTACTTCCCCATAATCTAAAGTAACTCCCCGGCCCACAAATTAACTCCATTGGGTTCCCCCATGAGGGCTTCCTTTCCCTTGTTCCTTGGTATCTTCCCCCAGACCTTCTGGTTCCCCTCTGTTCTGCGCCGAGTGCACAGGCGTCCGTCTTCTGGGTGGCCAGGTCTGTGTCTGGGAGCGTCCCTCCAGCAGCCGGGGCCTCTAGGTGTCCAGCTCTAACTGCTCTTGATTTTCACTGAGTCTTAACATAAGCTGCTGTTCATAGTAAAGGCTCTTTGCATAGTTTATTTCTTGGGATAACTTGACAGCAAGGACCTCAGATTTCACATGGACCTAAGAGGAGAAAAGAATGAGCATCTCATTCTCAGGGTAACCAAACTCGACCAGCGGTGTGGGCGGCGCAGCTCCACCAGCCCAGCGGCAGACAGGATGACACTAAGAGGCTTTGAAGAAAAGCACAGTCCCAAAGGCCCCCTAGTTGATTCTGACTTAAAAATGTGGGTGGATCCTCAGGACCTGCATTTTTAATGCATTCCCCAGGTGACCACTGCCAGCCCATAATCACCCAACATTTGGAAGCTCCTGACTGAGGCCAGTTTCCATTCTGAGGAGGAAAGGAGCTGCCAGACCAGGATCATGAGCAGTGGCAAAGGACTGACCTTGGGATTCAGGTCAGTGATTCAAGCGGTTGGAGACTGGAGCTTTTCTGAGCTAGAATGTGCCTGTCCACCTGCCTTGAAAGGGGAGACACGTGAGGTGCAGCTCCCCACCACTGGGAGGAACTTAGAAAACTCACACTTTGGGGTGCTAACTCTCTTAACCAGCCAGCCTGAACTGAGCCAGTGACTCCAGGAAAACGTCACAGCCAAAACAAACCCGAGTGCATTCCTGGGCAGGGGCAAGGTCAGAGGTCCTGCAGAGAGAGGCTCAGTAAGGCCACTGGTGTTTCTGCAGAAAGACCATTCAGTGGAGGCACCTTCCCAGGAAGCAGGTGAGCCAGGCAGGACTGACACCTGGGTGTCAGACCACAGCCTCAGAGGGGCAGGCCTCCTCACCTGTTCAGCCACAGTCCCCTGAGTCCATGCTGCACAGGGAGGTGGCTGTGGCCTGGGTCCTGGAGTGGGGCTGGCTGGCCTCAGCCTCGACTTCCTTAGGGGTCAGCTGTGTGACTGAATGAGTCATCTCCCCTGACCCCTGGCTCAGCAGCACAGTGGGGACAATGGCAGAAAATAACCTGCACCAAGCACCCAGTGTGCAGCCTGGCGCACAGCGTGCCCTCCTGATTGCTGGTCCTCAGGGGGAGCTTTACTACTCAAAAGTTCTGCCAGAGCAAGGCCGCCTGCACCCCAGAGGTGAAGTATGATTTTTATCTACAATATCTATTGAGCATGCCGGGTACTGTTCCTTTGTTATCAGAGACAATACAGGGTGAGCTCTATCTCCATCCTATAGTTAACGCACTGAAGATGAACAGTCAAGTTCAGGTGCATGAGAACCGTGAATTCTGTTAGTTCTTCCTCACAATTAACCAGAGTGAGCCCTGCTACCTGCTGTATTGATGGGGAACAAGGCACAAATGCTGAGTAATGTGAAGCTGGAGGGCAGCAGCTGCAGCCTGACCCTCTCAGACAAGTCCCAGTAGCGATCAGGGTCAGAGGGGAGGGTGACAGGGGCTGCCACCTTTGGACCAGAGCTTGCCCATCTCAGGGTCAGGGGGCGGTTGGGGACTCACCATCGGCTTCTGGTGGGACGGGCCTGGGATGGACACGCCGCTGCTTGTGCTCGCCGCTTTCTTGGTCACCTGCACGTACACTTTGCCATGGTCCTTGGAGACGAGGCAGTGGTAGAGGTCGTCGTATTTGACCTCGAGGAAAATGGCCTCTCGGTCAATATAGTCCCCGCTCTTCAGGAAGTACACGGCTTTGGAGGAGATGAGCACACAGTAGCTGTCAATGTTCTCCACGGCTATGAAGCTGCACAGGGAAAGGAGAGTGGGAATGTGAGCTTCTCCTCCATGCTGGGGGCCAGGCTGAGCACGGGGCTGAGCACGCAGGGAATGGGTAGAGCCTGCCCAGGGCTCTGGGGTCTGAGGGCCTGAACTTGAACCCAGGAGCCCTCACTCACCACACCTTGGGCAGGTGGCTCCACTGCTTGGCACCTGTTTCCTCATTTATAAACTAGGAATCAGAGGGACCCTGGCCTCAGGGGCTGCTGTTGGGCCATGTAGTTCCCTTCCACAAGCACTGGGTAAATGTTCCAAGTGACAGTGACTTTGGGTTCCACCAACAGAAGCGATTTCAGATCCAGAAATGGTACCTGTGGGGTGTTATCTGGGGGTATCTTTGGAGAGCTTAAGCCTTAGAGGAAACTGAGCAGTGCTGTGTTGATAGAAAGAAAGTACCGTGCTTTTAAAAGTTAAACTGAAGGAGCAGCTAGGGCATGCTGCCTAGCACGCAGGCGGCCATGGCAAGGGCTAGAAGACATGGCGGGGTGACGAACACTGACGGGGCCAAAGAAGAATTCAATAGGTTTCCCAAGCTGCGTGATGCCAGGGGACAGCAGGACACAGCAGAGTCTCACTTCCACATTCACCCTCCTGTCACCCCGCCTTGCTCAGTCCTTCCAGGGACTCGGAACTCTGAACTCCACGTTCAGCAAACACCAAGTTAGAAAGTGCTTTCTTGTAACATTGCAATCTCCATTTTCCATTTTCAAAACTTTTAGTCATTCTTTGAAGAGATTAGGGCCATTCAGGAAAACCTAACCTAAAAAGAAAAAAAAAAGGAAAGAAGAAGTCCACCTCTTCTCTCCCACGGAGCTTACAGACTGGACGTGGGAACCCGCGTAGCCAGCCTCTCTGCTCAGCTGCTGGAGGAAGACTAGTGAACTCTGGGAAGGGCACCGACAGCTCCCCTGCAGCCTGTGCTGGCCTTTCACCATGGGGCTGGACCTCAGGGGACAGCGAGGGAGGATGGACGGCGGCAGGAATACCAAGAGCCGACAACACACGGGCTGTTGAGCGCCTGTTCCAGGCTGCTGGCCTAGAGCAGGGGCTCCACCTGAAGCAAGCGCCTCTGGAGGAGGCGGAAGGCCGCAGGTGGCAGGAGGTCTGCCTGCTGGCGGCCTGGGGGTGTTCCTGCTGGGCACCTGCTCCCTCCATGTGGGGTCAGCCCTCCCCAGAACACAGCCTCACTCCCGACCAGCTCACCTCCCCAGTCTAAGGATTCACAATTCCAGTTTCTCGAAGCTTCCCCCAAAGGCTCACCCCTCCCCCACTCTGGCTACTTCCCTGCCTTGGCCTCCCAGGGCGCTGCCCAAGGCAGGTTTGTTCTTTCAGGTTTCCTGGTCAGTACTCCAGCTCTTGGGCTAAGCTCTAAGTCCGCGGAGTAGGGTCCACACCTTACGCCCCCCACCTCCCTGACTGCTCTCCCCACGAGGACGCAGGAAGCGTCCACCTTGTTCCAGCTGTCTTTTAATTACAGCCCCCATGACAAACACTGGGGTTTGTTGTTCTATTCTGACTAGTTGGCAATGCCAAGAATGCAGACTTGTAAAGTCCCGATGCCAAAATTAGAAACACCCGGCAGCCCCAGCGCCCAGGCTGCTCAGCGGACTTCCTCACGGCCCACACTCTGATAGCGTCGCAGGCGACAGCATCACGGATGCGAGCTGAATGGAATCTAAATTAGCTGGTCCAGGGAAGACAGAAGGACAGAGACAGAAGGAAAGACACAGAAGAACATGTCCTGCCAAATGGAGAAGCATCACGGCCCCAGCTGGAACTCGTAGGGGAACTGGCTGAAAATCCAAAGGCAGCCTCCATTCCTGAGCACTAGGGGGGTGGGGAGGGCAGGCGCAGGCCAGGAGGCTGTCATGGGCTCTCAGGGACTGCAAAGGTGGCCACCGTAGGTGGACAGCGCACATCCACCCTGTGTGGCCTCACTGCCACTGGCATTTACACCAGGAAGCAGCCCTCAGGCCAGGCAGAGGGCTAGCTGCGACTGAGCTGAGTGCACTTCCTGGAGGGGACACCTGTGCAGGCTTAGAGCAGGCTCCCCTCTGCCATGCTGCCACGGGCAAGTCCTCAGCAGGCCAGGAAAGTTCTGGAGGAACAGCTCTGAGCTGGGAGGCCCTCCTGAAAGGCAGAGCAAAGTGAAGGGAACGGGGGCTGGGTGGGAGGGAAGCCCCACCAGCTGGGGACGCAGAGCAGGTAGTTGGCTTTCTTGGTGGCTGTTTTTTCTCCTCTCCGATGGGAGAGGCCAGTGCCTGCTGGTTTCCTTCACAGCCAGCATGAAGCTCCAGAGGTTCATGGCCATAGGAGCGCAGGCAGCGGGCGGCGCTGTGGAATGTGCTGGGATCTCTGTGCCCAAGTCCAGGCCCCATTCATACTCTGGAGCTGCTGCTGCTAATCACATATTTGGACATAAAATGTTCTAAAGTTTTCAAAGCAAAAGCAGATCATAGCCAAGGACATGATTGGGAGAAGAAAGGGAGCTGGGCAACGACCCCGAGCTGGTCAGCCAACAGCACCTCTACCTCCTGCTGCTTCCCGCCTCCACGACTGATGGCCAAGCCTTTGTGTCTGGTCAGCATCGCTGTGACCATTGATTCTGTGTTTTCACACAATGTGAGACCACATCAAAGGCTCATTCCAACAGCTCTGGACCAGGCCTCTCATTTGAGGGACACGGATCCCAAACTTGTCACCCGGTGAGAGAGAAGCTCAGCTCAGGGGGACAAGGGGGCCCAGCAAAGGCAGGGCCTTCCCAGCAACTTCCTGTCCCCTATCCCCTCATGACCACCAGCCGCGTGCCCTCCCTGTCCACCACCCACAGACACCACGTGCTTCTCTTGTCACTCCAGCAGAGCATCCGTGGTCACCTCAGGATTCAGACTTTCCACTCCTCGCCCCTCAAACAGGCTTCACAAAAGGACTCTGCTGGGCCATGGTGGGTGACTGGGGCTGACACAGGAGGAGGCCAGCATGTCCCAGTGGGTCCCGAGGACACACCTTCTGCCCTTTGATCTATTAACTCAGGGGACAGGAGGGGATGACAAAGCATGGCCTTGAACACAAAGCCCTGGGAAGGCTTTCCCTCAGCTGTGAGGATCAGAGAGGCCCCGGCTCGGTGCACACAGCCTGAGGCTGCTGTAATACTACAATTCATTTTATGAAAAATTAGGATTTCTGTACGATTTTTAAACTTGGGTTAAAGGTTTTATTTTTAACTCTCCTTTAAGGATGACTTAATAGATTCATGTGCCAGGAAGACTCAGAAAATGGCAGTGCAATGGCATCGCAAGGGCGATGGAACCTGCCAGCACACAGGCAATTCCGGATGCCAGACATACCGCACCCAGCGGCAGAGCCTCTCAGAACTCCTTATTAAAGACTTAGCAAGGCATTAACTTTAATGTGTTATCTGGGTCATCTGCCAATGCGAGTTTTAATTCAATGGCATATCAAAGAATGTCCAGTTCCCTAAGTATCAATAGTTGTTGACAGGTTATTACCTGGTTTAGAAAATGGAAGCTGGAGCTGGGGATGTGGCTCAGTGGTAGAGCACTTGCCTGGCATGTGCAGGGCCCTGGGTTCCATCCCCAGCACTGCAAGAAAAGAAGAAGAGGAAAAAGAAAAAGAAAGACAACGGAAGCTATGCACTCTGTTCTTCAAAAGGACTAGTTTTTTGTGTTTGTCCTGTGTGCTAAGGAATGGTTTAAATTTATAATGAAATGATATTAGAATCAGTATGGTGGCCTATGCTAAAAAAGTTCTGATTCTGTCTCTCTGCAAAGTTTATCAAAAAGAAGAGATGAGACTTAAAAAATACCATCAACAGTGTGTTCACAAAGTGGGTAAAAAAGGAGACTTTTACTATTTTCTTTTGTAGGTCTGGAGAGTGAACCCAGAGTCTCGCACATGCTAAGCCAACACGCTGCCATCAGCCACATCCCTGCACTGCCCTTCCTTTTAAAAATGTTAATTCTGAGACAGGGCCTCTCTTAAGTCGCCCAGACTGGCCTCAAACTTGGCAATCCTCCTGCTTCAGCCTCCTGCGTAGCTGGGATTACAGGTGTGTCCCCCATGTCCCATGAGACTTTTACTCTTGACTATCTGTCTATTAGGTTTAGAAGCTATTTTTATTTTCTTTTTTAAAAAATACTTTTCTGTGTTAAAAAACCAATAAATGACACCTTCTACACAACTGGTAATACAATCCAAGGATTACATTCTAGAAAACAGCAGTTTAGAGCAGCTTTTCAGGTCACGGGTTGTCCCCGAGCACCTTTTTGAAAAGGCAAGAGTCCCCTTGTGCCAACAATCAGGTGCGCACCCTTTTATTTCAGAATGACAATGAGGCTTCTGACTATCAAGTAAGCATTAGAAAGCACATTAATTTAACCATACAGGGCAACTTTTACTTCAACATCATCTTAACTGAAGATCCTGGGTTAAAACTGAAAAGAAGAACAAAAAGATGGAGAAGCGACACGAGTCTGAAACGCATCAGAGAAACACCTGATCAACCAGAAACCGTAGCCTGTCAGCCGGCAGCCCTTAAATCCTACGTCAGCAACTATCTCCTTAATGCTAATTAATTAAATGGAATGTAAATACTAAATGCGACATGATCTAGGAGAACAAAGTTGGAGCTGCCTCGGCTCTGGGGGCCTGGGGTTTCCACTCCATCCGGAAGTAATTACACAGTATTTTTCAGAAGTGAAACAGTGAGTCTAACTGGAAAAAAATGTGGAAACATTTAGTTAGAACAGTAGAGCACGGTATTAAAGACCCTTTTAAGGGGTTAACTCTGAAGGGAAATATGCAAATAATTAGGTTTCTAAACATGTTTTTAATTACAAATCTAGGATAAAAGTCAGAGGTATGACTCGGTGCCTGTGTTTTCCTGAACCCCTTCTTCGCAAAGAGATGCCCGCAGGGCTCACACAGGAAGGCCAGGCTGCAACTGAAGATGCTTAGAGACACATCTGCCAGGGTCCCTGGCGACTTCTCCTGTGCACCCAGGAAGACCAAGGTCACGGGCCTTGCTCAGCATGCACTGGCCACATTCAGCCCACAACTCGGGTGGAGACACATGGTTTTCATCTTTAAAGTCAAAATGCATTCATGCCAAATATCTGCTCCTAGTTCACATGAATTTCAAGAGTTTTGTGAAATCTCCTTTACTGATTTGATTTTGCCTCCAGCCTCCCGTTCTCTGGCTCTCCCTCCCGGGAGCAGCCCCACGTGGCTGGGCTGCGCAGGCTCCCCCTCCTGTTTCCTGGCACACGCTGTTCTACTGCAAATGAGCTTTGTAAGGACCAGAGATGGTTCCAGTTGAACAGAGGTGAATTGGGAGGACATTAAAAGTACAATATAGAATAATTCATAATCTCAGTTAGCCTTTGGAAAAAAAAATCCCCCAAAGATTGGAAAGTGGATATAAGTTAATACATATGCTAAATCCCAATATCCAACTGAATTTATTCAGTGCGTATTCTATGCCAGCCCCTGTTCTAGGTGTTGCGAATCCTCCAGTGAATGAAGAGGTGGGAATTCCAACACTCAAGAGGCTGCCATTCTAGTAGATTCTGCACCACGCTGATACCCCTGACAAATGATGGTCTGGGCCTCCAATTCAAAAGCCCAAAGTTTCGTACACAAAGTAGTGTAAATCTTTAAGCCAGGGAAGACAGGAATACAAAGTCCTTCCTGGAGTGAGACCACAAGGGGACCTGGTATCAGAGTGATGAGCAGGCCACGGCTGGAGTGAACAGCAGAGCCCATTCATGATGGGATATAGGCTGGGTTGTGCCCCACCCCCAATTCATATGTCGCCCGACGTCTCCCCACCCCCCAACAGGACTATTTGGAATGAGGAAATAATTAAGGTCAAATGAAGTCATGAGATTAGGGCCTTGGCCCAACAGGAGCCGTGTTCTTCTAAGAGGCCAGAGAGCGCCCCTCCCTGCCATGCAAGGACATACAAGAAGTCTGTCTGCAAGCTACCAAGAGCCTTCACTAGGAACAGAATTGCCAGGCATGTAGATCTCATCTTCCAGCCTCCAGAACTGTGAGAACACAGATTTCTGTCGCTTAAGCCACTTGGTCTATGGTTTTTTGTTGTGACAACCTGAGCCGGCTGACAGAAGAACATACCTACATTATCAAAATATTATGTTCTAATATTTGGAGGTATGGTGTGGTGACATGCCATCCCATCCAGCAGACAACAAAGGAATTCTGAATGTGATTCTTAGATCCCTGTTTGAATACTCGTACAAAGTGTGAGGTGAGTTATCCCAAACACTGTCTCCATTGACGACACTGGAGACCGCTCCGGGCACTGCATCCCCTGAGCTCCTCAACCAACCAAACATGCACCACGCTCAGGACACTCCCTGGCTGGCCTCACCATCCAGAAGGCAAATGAGCATCACAGAAATTAAACCAGTGCCCTGCAACTCACCACCCAGAATGCCTCTCTCTGGGCTGGTGATTCTAATACCTAGTCAAGTACTGGGGGTCTGCAGAATACCCTAAAATAGTGTCATATTTAATTCTAGCACACCAGCTAGATGTCACTAACTGAAAATGTGACAAGATATCAGGTATATAAGGCTCCATATTTAAAGAGTAGTAAGGTGACCTTAAAAAAACCGCACATTTCTAAAAGCATCGAACTACTGGTTATTTTTACTATTTGTTTATGGTTTGTTCTGCCATCCAACAGAAAATAATAGGACATCAGAGATTAAGAAAACTTTACAGGGGAAAAAGAAGCCCTTAAGATTGAGAGCCTTTACTTTTTCTTCTCTCTCAGAGTTGCCTGGACAGAGACGGTTGTGTCTGAAGAGACAGAAGAGCCAGTCATGGCTGCAGAAGGGACTTTGAGAAGCACACTGCCCTGTGAAGGCTGCTCCTGCGTGGTCACCTGTGGGCCAAGGAATCACATCACCAGCTCTGAGGTCCGAGCCTCAGAATGAGGCTGGGTCACAGGGAAACTGCTCCCAGTCAGACAGAAGAGGTGACTGGGTGGCCCAGCAGGGCTGTCTCCCAGGCTCCCACTTACAACTCGTCTTGGATATTGTCTGTTAGCTTGAAGAGCTGCTCCTGTCCCTCGGCCTGGCTCTCAGAGTAGCGGGGAAGCAGTCCCTGGGGTCCGGTGCAGCAACGCGGTCTCCGCACCCTCTGTGCTTGGGTCCTGAGGGCAAATGGACAGGAAGAAAATCAGTTAAGAATTAAGGTCAAAAGGCGCACTGTAGTCAACGAGCAGAATCAAGTACCGTGAGCCTGTGACAGAGCGACGAGGTAGTGGTCACACTCCCAATTCAACCTGCCTGGAAACCCGCTCCAGCTGTGTGATCCTGGGCAAACCACTTAACTTCCCTAGCCCTCCGCTTCACTGTCTCTGAGCTGTCCCCTGGCAGAGGCTCTTGTTAGAGCCCCTACTCAAGCCTTCCACAGGCCACACTCTGCTTTCCTAGGAACCTCTTTGGGAGAGCCGTGGTGGGCTTGCAGTGGGTCAGAAGGAAGGCCAATAGGCTGTGGAATTTAGTGGGAACCCACCCTGCCTCTGGCCTTCTTCTGAGACAGCTCAGCTGCCTGGGTGGAGGGCTAGGGACGGTGCTGGGGAACACAGGTTCCCTGCCTCATCCCAGGCCACGGTGGGCTTCCGCGGCCCTCTACCTCATGCCACTCAGCTCCTGGTTGCCCAAGGAATCTGCTTTGCTATGGCCTTCAGGGTCTGCTGCTGTTGTCTTTTTCCACAAACCATAGACAAGGTAATTGACAAATACTTTCTGGTGTTTTCCTAGAAACAGGAGTCCATATTTGTCTTGGAAAGGCTGCGCATATTTCAGATGACTGATAAGAGTGTGCTGGGTCTGTCCTCGGCCTTGTACTCTCTGTACTTTTTATTATTTGTTCCTGAAACCCACTGAAGCAAAACATCCCTCTCTAGACAAACCTCCAGGAGAGGCTCAGGCTTCCACACTGAATCAGCACTGGAGAGCCACGTGCTGGCCGGCCGCAGTGTGGAGACGACCAGCAAGCACAAAGTGCCTTAGGGGGCAAATCCGGGCAGAAACACAGGCACAGGCACACCGGAACTGCCGTGGGCTGGGGGAAGGCTGGCGGCAGCTGTGAGTGCGTTTCACTGCTCCGCTCATCAGGCCGTGATTTCTGAAGGGCAGCCCCACACCTGGTGACATGTGGTAAGGGCCCTTACCAGAAAACCAGAAACCCCGGGTAGCTGGCCAAGAGTTCACCCACAAGGTGATACAGTCCCATTAGCTGTGCTCTTCAGGGGTAGGTAAAGGACTGTGAGGAAGTTTCATTGACCTGTGCCATGAACGGGCGAGGAACAAGGTCATTCAGGTCACATGTGCACACACTCCCACTGTGGCTCGACTCCCTCACGCCTTTAAGATTTGGGTCTACTGCTGGCTGTTTGGTTCCCAACTACTGGGAAGCCCAAAGGCCCCCCAAGAGCAATATGGTGGGCTGCTTCCCCATGCATTTGATGTAAGGTTTGATTCTGAGTCCTCTCACCACAGGTAGCCAGTCTACTGGGAGGCCACAGGCTCACTCCAATACTGAAATCCTTCAATATATATCTGAAATCTATTCCTTTCTGTCACATCTAACAAATAGCCTCTGGATTTGTAATTCATGGGTACAACTGCCTCACAATTACTCTACTTCCATTCCATCCATTCTCCTCACCACAAGGAGAACAGCCCGTTAGAAATCACAGTTGGGTCAAGCAGGGTCACCTGCTCAAAGCACATGCGCTTCCTGTTTCACTGGGATGAGCACCTGTACCTGTGCTCTGGCTCCCAGGAGACATGGGGAGGAAGCACTTGGTCTCATTCACTGCTATCCTGGGATCCAGAACAGTGCCTGGTTGGTGGTAGAGGAGCAATCGCAGTTAGATGAATAAATGGGCCAGGCCAGGCCTTGTCTCGAAATAAAATATAACAAGGGCTGGGGATGTGACTCAGTGGTTAAGTGCCCGGGTTCAATCCCCAGCACCAATTAAAAAGAAAATAAAGACGACATAAGAAACAAAAACATGCGATGTGGGGTAGAGATGAAGGCCAGTTGTTGAGCTCGGAAGATAAAGGGAATGTGCAAACATTGGTAGAGAGTTTAGAAACTTGAGATTTTGAGCTTTGATAGCCAACTGTTGACTTTAGGGCACAATGTCAACGAGCTAGAGTCCATCTTCCCAACAGGCCGAGGGTGCGACTGTCCAGTCCACTGATGGAAGGAAGGGGCTCCAAGGCCCACCTTGGATCAACACCTCTGTGGACGCATGTCTTCTTCAACATATGAGAAATTCTTTTCATTACACAGGGAACACATGCTGCTGCGTATGGGAAACACTGGGTCCTGGATCCCTCTGATGGGACCCACGGAAGCCAGAGAAGCCGGGGAAAGGTGGCCTGTTTCTGTACCTGAGCTCTGAGAAATCACCTCCTGACAACTCCAGCCAGCTGAGAATGTGAGGGAAAGTGCCCCACGTGGTCACGCCACAGAGCTTTCAAGTCCAGTCATTTCTGGGCCCAGAGGCCTCCCTGCAGGGCCTTCCTCACACACGTTTTATCTCCACTCCCAACACATTATCTTCTAACGTGCGAGGGACAACCCCCAACTCATCCGCGGAGGAGCAGTGGAGGCTCCTGGGTGAACTCCGACCATCTGCTGTTTCTTTTCTTATCTGGCTTCCCAAAAGGCTGCGAGCTGCCTCCGGTCTCCAAGGTCCTTGCCTTGTGACCACTGAACACCAACGGGCAGCAGGGTGGGGCATTCAGTGCTGTGGACTTCAGAAGCCCACAGTGGCATTCAAGGCTCATTCTCAAGCCATCACAGGGGAACCGAGAAGGAAATGGTCTTCTCTTTGGGCTTGTAAATATGGGTTTCTGACAACAGGGTCACGTGGACACTCTCACTACCAGTCTTCCTACCCCTTACTTACCACTTACCTTACTTAACCACTCTTACTACCTTAACCCTTTACTGTCAGTGCCTGTAAAGCTCATTTTTCTTCTCCAAAATTTGACTAAAATTTCAACTTCTCAGTCCAAGTTGGTAGGTCGTGGGCGGGGGAAGGGAGGGTGGAGTTTAAAATTCATGTGTGGACAAATTTAGATGCAAATTTAACCAAAGAATTACAAAATCCTATAAGCTAGTGCTTGCAAGCCTCCTGAGCCAGCAGTTTATACAGTGATACTGGCCAGGGCCACCCCTGTGGGTAGAACGAGTTCTACAATTACTCAGGAATTCAATACATACTACGAATTCGAAAAACCCCAAGAAACTGGGGTGACAGCAATCCTGAATTTGTCCATGCTCCCTGACTCAGGAGTACAGTGTGTCCATTTTTAAGTGACTGACTATTCCCAAGTCACTTCCATGCATATTCCAGTGAATCTCTGCCCCTGGAGCAGAAGAACTCTATTCCTCTTTTTTGAACCTCACGCTGGGGTGAAACTCATGACTCTCCTCAGCTCCAGGCCCATTATCACTGGCCTTGACTCACTGGAAATAATTCAACAAACATCTGTGAAGCCACCATCACCAGGTCCCAGACTCCACTCTGACCACAGCTGGGCTCCGTGTGCAGCCTTCTGCACCCACACCTGCTGCTCCTGCTTGCCTAAGGCAGCCATGACGCCAAAATAAGCATCTAACATTGCATGTTTTTGTTTCTTATGTCGTCTTTTTTTTTCTTTTTTTGGTGCTGGGGACTGAACCCGGGCACTTAACCACCGAGTCACATCCCCAGCCCTTGTTATATTTTATTTCAAGTCAGGGCCTGGCCTAGAACTTGCGATCTCCTCAGCCTCCTGAGTTGCTGGGATTACAGGCGTGCACCCCTGCACCTGACTTCTCATGTAGTCTTCTTAAGTTGCAAAGTATTCTTCGGCACCTTCGGGTTTTGGTCTTTGGCTTCCAGTTGTTTGGGGCTTTTGGGAAAAAAAAAAAGCCGCTGTCCTCTTGCTGAGACTCTGCCACCCTTCTTGGGACCACTGAACACCAGTGGGCAGTGGGGTGGGGGATTCAGTGTGCTGTGCCTACTTTACCAACACCCCACTGACTGAACATCCCATGATCCCCCACCATCTTGCTGATGGCACGTGAGTCATTTCCAGGCTGTGCTTCTACCAATGGTGCTGCTAGGAACCTTCCTGCACGTCTTCTAGGAGGCATCTGCTGGATGGCAGGGTGTAAAATTCACCTATCAGGATAACTCAAACTATTTTCAGTCACCACGTCACTGTTCCACGTGGCGACAATGCACTCGGAGTCCCTTTTCCTCCACGTCCCTCCTAACATGAGGCGCTGACTCGGGGCATGCAGTCTAATACACAGCCACTGGCCACAGGTGGCTACCAAGCATTTGAAATGTAGCCAGTGTAACTCAAGAACTGAATTTTAAACTACATTAAATCAGCTTATATTGAAATTGCATCTTGGACAGCACTGGTCTAGACTCGCAAACCTCTGCTGTTGGAATAGGTATAAGATGCCTGTTTTCTCATTCCACCTTCTTCAACTCAGAGGACAGTGGTGTCCAATGAAGAGACGAGAGTGGCCGTGGGTCTGTCGCTGGCGCTGGATCTGCTCTGGCTCCCCACCCTGTCCCCGCCTGGTCTCCTTGCTGGCTTCGCTCCTTTCCTTGTGACCCCCTCCGCGGACACGACAGCAGCCACTTGGGCAAATCTTGGTTCTGTGACCCTTGGATGATGCAGCTTCAACCGGAAGTGGAAACCAAGCACTGCCCTCCTCAGGGGACAGTGCCTCTTTGTAACCAGCTCAACCCTCCGGATAGCTCGGCGGCTCGGTGCTGCGCACACTCTGCCTCCACACGCCTTTGTTTAGCCAGAGGTCTGCGGTGTATTTAATTGCTGCCAGCTGGGAGTTGTCGGCCATTTTAAGCCCTCAGCTGCTGCGGTTTATAAATTTCATAGCGTATAGAAAGAAGCAGTCCTTCCAGTCAACCAGCTAATCCAAAATGTCAGCACCGAATGAACTTGAGCTCTGAATTTCAGGAAAACGTCAGGGAGGCGGCTCTTCCCCCAGGGAAGGGGCTGCCGATATGGAGGCCGATACACAGCAGATCCCCACCCAGGGAGGGAAGTCCCCCAAGTTGGTCTGCATCTGGCCAGTGCTGTCTGTCAGACACTGGAGGCCCCA